AGTGTCTGTTTATCAGGGAAGTTGAATCAGACTCAGAACCTGTCTCCTAAAAAGCTCTTCTGTTTCTAGAATTCCGTGAGTCAAGCCAGCCCTGGGTGCCTTCCTCTTTTCTGGGGAATTCCTTTGGGGCAGGGGGACAGTGGCGGAAGGCTGACCCTTCCAGGAAACTGAAACCTGAAATCAGTTTTTGCCCATTTATGGACTTGAAGTCCCCTCCCCCAACCTAGGATGACTCATATTCCCAGTTTGACCTAAATGCCCCCAGAGGGGAAAGGGTGACTTTGAGAAGGTGGGATTAGCTCAGGGAGAGGGCTGGGGGCTGGACAGAGAAGGGATGAGGGCTGAAAAGCTTGGGGAATTCCTTTGCTTAGCAACTGTTGGGGGAGGATTTTCCAGCCAAAAGGAGGCAGAATGAGAGAAAGAAGGAGGCTTCTGTTCCGGAGAGAAGCTGCGCGCCCAGGTGGCTTTTCCTATAGAGAATTTCCTCTACAGAGGCAGCCGCTCCTGACACGTAGGTTAAGGGCCTCAGCTGGAGTAAGTTCTCAAACTCTGGCGTGTTTAGAACCACTTGCCAGGCTTGTTAGAAGGCAGATGGCGCCGCCCTCAGCGGTTCTGCTCAGGAGCCCCAGTGGTCTGAAAGCAGGAAGTCCTGAAACTGAGGAAGAGCCCTGGGAACAGGGAGCCGGCTTTTTCTCCCAGCCTTGGTTGGACAAGGCAACTCCCATTCCCTCTGCCTGTGTCCCTGGCCCAAGCGTCACATCCCCCAGTGTTCTTACAGAATCTGTGAAAGCCTTTGAGGCTGTGCAGTCATGAAGCTCAGAGCCGCAGGGTCTCCAGGAGTTGTTAGCACAGCAGTCTCATCCCACCGACAGGAAAATGGAGTCTCTGGAAGGTTCAACAGGTCAAAGGCCCACTTTCCCCCAACTTTCCCTCCCAGCCCTAAGGGAAGTCTTTCTCAGGAGGAGAAAGCTGAGCACCACCCACCTCCTCCACGTTGAAGCTTTCACAAGCGGTGATCAGCTACGGAAATACCCGCTTTCCTATCCAATAAAATTCTAGAATCCTTCCAACTCAGCGACTTCAGGAATCATCTAGTCTGGTTTTTCACCCGAAGCAGAAATTCCTTCTAGGAACAACACCCAAATCTGTCTCCAATGCACATCTCTTTCCTGAATTCCAGACTCCTTATACCTCTTCTTAACTCCACTCGAGGTCTAAGGGCCCCCTCGCTTTCCCTCTCCCCTGACAACCCTTCCTCATCTCAGCTAAGGAACTGTCCATCCTCCAAGTCCTTCAGGCCAAAAGTCATGGAGTTGAACCCTACCCTCACCCCAGAAGCTATTCTCAACAAGCAGCTAGTGGGATTTTTAAAAATCCTAAGATCATGCCACTCCCTTCTCTCAAAACCTCCCACTTGTTCCCCAGTTTACTCAGAATCAAGGCTATAGCCTGTGTAATTGCTCACAAGGCCCTGTGGTATCAACCCCTGACCCCCTTTACCTCTTCTGGTCAGATCTCTGCTACTCTGTCTTTCACTCACTCTGCCTGGGCTGCTCCCCATTCCCGGTCTTTGTATTGGCTGTTCCTTCCACCTGGAACACCGTTCCCAAATATTCACATGATAACTCCCAGCCCTCCTTTAGGTCCTTGCACAAATGCCACCTTGTCAATGAGCCTTTCTCTGATCTCCCCTATTTAAAATGTTATTCCCAATCCCCTCCATCCCTGCACTCCATCCCCATTCTCCTAATCCTTATGACCTGTTCATGTATCATTTACTTATTTATTATACCCATTCTTTTGTCTCTCTCCACAAGAATGGAAGCCCCGTGAAGGTAGAGGTTTTTGTCAGTTTTGTTCACAAATGTAAGCCCACAGCCTAGAACAATGTAGAGATGGTCCCTGATTTAAGATATTTCAACCTATGAGTTTTCTACCTTATGATAGTGTGAAAGTGATACACATTCAGTAGAAAATATATTTCAAATTTTGGAGGTGGGTCTTTTCCTAGGCTAGCGATATGCAACCCGATCCACCTCCCAGCCCTACACGCGGGGCAGGTGCAGCAAGCCAGCCACCGCTCCTGGTCAGCCACGCGGTCACGGGGAAACACCCGACACACAACCATTCCATTTTTCACTCTCAGTACAGGAGTCAATATAAGAGATTCAACACTTTATTATAAAACAAGGCTTTGTGTCAGATGACTCTGCCCAACTGCAGGCTAATGGGAGTGTTCTGGGCACGTTTAAGGTAGGCCAGGCTAAGCTGTGATGTGGGGTAGGTTAGGTGCAGTAAATGCATTTTCAACTTAGGATATTTGTAATTTATCGTAGGGTTATCAGGACACACCGCCACTGTAAATCTGTACACTGTAGATGCTCAGTAAATAAGAACTTATTGAAGGAATTCATGAATATGCATTACGCAGGTGATGGCCTCCTCAAGCTGAATCCTGCATCTCAGTACCCCCGTTCGTGGGTCTTGGTCCTGCTCTCTGAGCCATGAGCCCACAAGTCTGTTCCCTTTTTCAGGAGACTGGCCCTGTCATGTTTTATATGGTTCCCCCGCTAGTCTCCTCTTCTGCTTAAAATGCCCAGGCTGTTCAGCCACCCTTGTCCTGGGCCCATCCCAGTCCTCCAGATATGCTCTGGCTGTCAGTCAGCCTTGAGATTCTGACTCACAGCTGGAAAGAGAAGCCTAGCGGGGGTGGGGCGGGAGAGGGGGCACTGTGCCTTGCTGGGGACTGCTGCTCCCATGCACCTGAATCATTGGTTCCCCTTCATGTGGGCCCACCAGGAGGGCCCACAGCAGACCAGCCCCAATGAAGGGGGCGGAGGGAGAAGAGAAGGGGTTGTCTGGTGGGGACAGGCTAACCAGCCACAGGGGTTTCCCTCCCTCCACAGAGAGGAGCCTCAGGACAAGCCAGGGAGGGGGTTTCCACTCAGGCACAGCCCCAGGGAAGGAGGGAGGATGAGGAGAGGATTCTGACGGAGAAGTTTGTGCTCTTGGTCTCAGAATGCCCTCTCCTGTGTCCCAAGGTTGCTCCTGGTTGTTGTCTGGGTTATTCACATTCCGGAAGCGCTGAGCTGGCACTAAATATTCCTAGGGCTCCAGCCTTATCCCCCAGGGCCCAGGAGTCATCTATACGAACTTGCTTTTTGGAATGTTTTTGCCATGAAGCATTCTGGCAGGTTAGGGGAAGCACGAAGCAGCGTGGGGTCCATAGCGTAAGCCTAGGTCTCTTTGGGACCTGGGTAACAGACATTCTCTTCCACCCAGATTCCCCTTCCCCAGTAGGCTACCCCCATGCCCACCCCATCCCTGAGCCTCTGGCTTAGAAGAGGTTAAGCAGACAGACCACAAAGAGGACAAAGATCTCAGGACCAAACACCCTTGTGTTCCCTCTTCTTCCCAGAAATTCCATCCCCTAGGCTGCCCCATCATGCCCCCCACGGCCCCCCCTCACTTGTGCTTCTCCTGCCCCCGCTCACCCTTGTTCCCAGCTCCCTACTGGGGCTTGTGGAGATGGGGGGAAGGTATTTCAGGCAGGCGGAATTGCCATATTCCTTATGCCTGGAAAAGAGGCTGGCATCCTGTAGCAGACGCTCCAGGAGTCCTGGTAGTTGCATTCGCTCATACTTCAGCTAACTCTCCAAAGCCAATCCAGTGGAGGTGATTAGCTAGCCCCCCACCCTGCCACCAACCTCCATCTGGCATACCACAGATCTGGATGTGAATTCTGGTTTTCCCACTTGCTAGCTAGGCAAGCTACTTAACATTCTTGAGTCTTTAATTTCTTCTGTAACACGGGAATGATAAAAACTGTACCAAATAAGGCTGTCATCGGCATTAAAGAACAAAGACCTGATACACAGGCTCTTAATAAATGGTAGCCCCTATTACTATCTCTTAAGTTGCAGTTCTTTTCCTGTTATCCAAATTCCCCTTCAGCATCATCTGAACTGATAACCGTTTCACTATTGAATTTTACTTATTTTTATGCATGCTATCTTGCCATCCAGTCTGCAACCTCTTTGAAGCTGAGATCCTATGCGTTGCACCAAGGACAGAGCGATTACCTCTGTCTTCCACAGAGGCTTGATTCCCGAGCTGAATGAATAGATGAGCACAGCCCACTCCGCAGCTCTATGCTTATGGAGGGGAAAGACCCTCCCTTATATTTTCCTGGTGTCTACCCAGAGTCGACCCCAGAGCTCCAGCACTCAGTAGGGCCCTAAAGACATCAGGCCAAAACACCCCATTGTAGGATAAGCAATTTTTTGCTCTCTCGTCCCAACCCCATAGTTGCCTCTCCAGACTCAGCAACTTTGCCAGCTTCCCAGATGCAAGGCCGGGGAGGGAGGGTCCAGATGCTGTACCCAGGCAGGCACCGTCGGGGGCAGGAGGAGGGGTGTGCAGCGGAGCGCAGAGCTGGAGCGGGGCCTGCGAGCACCAGCTGCAGGACGGCGTGGGGGAGGGCGCCCGCGAGAAGCTGGAGCCAGCCGGCTGCCTGCCTGCTCTTTGTCCTCCTCCTCCCTTTCATCCGGGCCCTCGGAGCCTGGGAGTTTCTCAATGGAGCAGGCGTGAGGGGAATGCTCTGCAGGGGGCTGAGAAGGACGCCCTCCGAGGGGGGCATTCCAAGCATTCTTCACTGCCTCGAGTCTGGCGGAGGTGTAGGGGGTGCTGGCAAGCAGGGAGCAGCCGACCAACACAGGCAGAAAGAGGATTTCTTGGGAAGGAGAGAATAAAGGCAGTGGGGCGTGGGGTGGGGGTGTCTTCAAGCAGCGGGGAACAAAGCAGGATGGGGGAGGGGTGGGAGGCGCGGGAGAGGAGGCGGGGGCGGGGCTGTTTATGCCAAACCCAGTTCTGCCTTTAGTGCTGAAGGCCAGAGCTGCAAATTGGGACTCTCAGCCCAGGGCTCTCCTGCCTGTGGCTTAACAGGGCTGAAGTGCTGATGAAGGTATAACGGGCGAGCCTTTTGGAGCTAAGAGCTGGGATTTTGTTGTATGTTTTTATTAAGCAGGTTCTCTGTTCGCCACCAGTGACAACGCACAGGGAGGGTGTGTTGGGAGAAGGCTCCACCTTCCCAAATAGGACAACAGAGGCTATTTTCTAATCACCCGTCTTGTTTTTGATAGAGTGGTTCTTTCTGGCTACAGAGAAAGGGAAGAGGGAAGGACCGTAAGGTAGATAGAACCAGGGTGTGGAGGGAGGGACCCAGAGACCCTCTCAGGGCAGTGCGATGGGACATGCAGGTTCCATTGCCCCACCACTAGTAGGGAATCATTGCAAAAATACCTTTCTGTACACAAAACCTACATGTCATAGTGGATTTCCCCAGAATACAGTGTTCACATTATTGAAAATAGCAAGATTCACTTTTTTAAAAACACAGAGCTGAAAACTAAAAAATAAATAATGACATTCGAGGGTCCTGAAGGCCCAGAGAAATAGACATATCCGTTCTCAGTAGCAGGAGCAGCTTGGAGGCTGGAGAAGTTCAGAGTCTGAGGTCTAAGGTGGGGTCCAGGGGCATCTGGACCCTTGAGATGAAGTCCAATAGCATCCTGAGCCTTTTCAAGTCTTTTAGATTCATAGCAGCGGCTCCAGGAGGCTTGCGCCGGGTTTGGAGGATGGGAAAGGGGAGAGAACCTTTGAGGAAATAGAGGTTGTGTTCTCTTACCACTAGGATAAATGGGAGGGTCCACTTTAGAAGACTGTTCCCAGGATTCCCCGGGCACATTAGGGGATGCCACCTCTCACTGTTTGTGGTTAGTGGAGACCAGAAAGCACATGTGGACAGAGTCCATCCCCACCTTGCCAAGAGGCACCACACACACCACGTACTCATAGCAGTGAAGGACATGGGCACTTCCCCATACAGGGTTCTTTCCAGAGCTCTGGTCCTACCACGGGCCCAAGAAGCAGGCAGTTTGGACTCGGCCACAGGCCTTCCCCTCTGCTTCTCTGCTCTCTCTGCCCACTATCTGTTTGGTTCAACAGGGCTGAAGACACCGAACCCTAGAGACACTCCACTTGCGCCTTCCCACATCAAGCCCTCTCCAGGGCTCAACTGCACACCATCTCAGCCTTTCAGGCTGGGGTGCTGGTCCTGGGAGGCAGGGGAGAAGGCACTCTCCCCCAGGGTGCAGCCAGCTGCATCGTAGAGCCTGCCCGGAGTGGGGCTAGTGCTTCCCCCTCAGCTGAGCTTCGAGCAGGCTCCCAGTGCCTGGCGGTAGGCCTCTGTCACCTCCTGGCAGTCTGTCAGGGAAAAGCAGCTATCCCCCAGGGGGTCCTGCCACCAGCCCCTCAGGCCCCTGCTCCCAGGGCCCTCCGCGGGGGGCTCCTCAAGCCCCATGAGGTTGTCCACAGACACGCAGCCCCGGAGCGGGGGCTCAGAAAGCCGTTCGGGCAAGTCCAGCTGGTCAAAGGACTCGTTGGACAGGATGCTGTCCTCACTCACAGCCCCCGAGGGGCGGCTGGCCCTGGCTGCAGGGCAAGGTGAGGCCAGCTCGTCCAAGGAGCCAAAGGTGGACAGGGCCGCGAGCTCCGGGGCCGCGCGGGAGAACTTGCCGTTGTGCTTGAGGATGCCTTTGCGGTGCAACAGCAGCCCCGAGGCTTGAGGGGGCTTCTCCACGGACTCCCCGCTCACAAACACATCTCCGGCATCCAGGAGCTCCCCAGACTCGCTGGGCTCAGGGGAAGAGTAATAGCCAGACTCCCGCTGCCGAGGTGGCTTGAGGATGCCCTTCCTGGGCAGCACGGGGGCAGCCTCGGGGCCCTCCTGTGCCTGCTCTGAGGAGGTCGACGCCTTCTTGAGAATGCTCTTTGGCAGCCTGAGGGCGCCCCTCCCAGGGCGAGGGGGTGTGTCATCAGCTGGGTCCCCCTGGAGAGGCTGCGCCATGTCATTCTCTTTGCGTGACTTCTTGAGTGAATGCTGGCGCTCCAGGCCGGGGCTGGTGCCCCCACCCCCCAGGGTGTGCTGCCTGAAGAAGCTGCGCACCTTGGCCCCGTTCTCCAGGAGGGGGCGGGAGGACCGCCGGAGCCAGTCAGCCATGGAGGCCCAGCCAGAGTCGCTGCCAGGGTGCCCGCTCTCGTGCAGGGCCTCCTGCTCCCCCACACGGGTGATGTAGCCCCAGTTGACCCACCAGTGACTGGCCACATCCTCCAGGGTGGCTCGGCGGGTGGGGTTCACCATTAACAGCCACCGGATCAGGCCACAGGCGTCTGGAAGACAAGACAGGGGGCTTTAGATTGGCAGCCATGAGAATGGTCATCTCCGCACGCCCCCCTCACTGTCTTACCCCTATTTGTGCGAAGACACTGCTCACACCTGTGTCACTTCTGGCCACTCCCACCTAGGACTCCGTAAATGCCACATGCCACAGCCCGGTCCACCTCCCCACTGCCTCCAGATCTTCTGGAAGCTGCCAACTTTCTCTTCCGTCCCACGACCCCTCAGGACTATAGCGCCATCATTAGCTTTGCTGCGTTAGTGTACAACTCTTCCTTCCTTGGAGGTCACGGACAGCAGCGGCAGAGTGGAAGGCACCCTAATCTACATGTTACTGCTGCCACTACTAATTCCAGCCTCAGCAATCAGTGACACTCAGCGCCTGGATGGGAACACCCACACCTCTCACTCACCAGAGGGCTTAGGTGGCTCCCGGTAGGCCCCATCGCTGATCTGTTTCACCAACGTCTTATGGTCCTGCCCGTCAAAGGGCATGGTGCCATGCACCAGGATGTACAGGAGAACGCCCAGGGACCAGCTGTCCACCTGAGAGAAGCAGATGATCAGCAAGGATGCCCAGGTGCCACAGGCTCAAGGGCTTCCCGACTTGCCTTCAATGCCACAGAACAAAGGGGTACATGTGGGAGAGGTCAGAGGCCAGCGCACCTGGGGACCACCTCCCACCAGTCCCCAGGAGCAAAGGGGTGATGCTGCAAAAGGGACTGAGGCCCACAGAGAGAGGTGGTGTTAATTGCCACCCTTGGGAGGGGCAGCCACAAACAGGAGCAGTGACCAGGCCATACCTCTGGGCCAGGGAGGTGCCAGGAAAGGTAATGGGCATTAGGAAGGGGAGGGGCACAGAATGGCCTGGGGGTCAGGAGACTTAAGTTCTTGTCCCAGTTTGGCCAGCCCTGGCTAGAGACCCGGCAAATCACTCCTTTTGTGGGGAAGGGGCTGAGTTTTGTGCTCTGAAAAAGGGAATAACAAGAAAACTAGCCCACCTATCTCCCAGGATCTAAAGTCACAGTAAATGGGGGAGGCAGGCTGGTGGTGGAGGGCGGACACTCACCTCTGGGCCCGTGTAGGGCTTCCCGTTGACGATTTCGGGTGAGGCATAGAGGGGGCTCCCGCAGAATGTCTGCAGGAACTTCCCTTGGTGGTAGAGGTTGGAGAGGCCAAAGTCAGCAATCTGCAGGATCGGGTCAAACATGCACAGGAGGTCACGCCAAGGCCCGGTTGTTCTGCCTCTCTCAGCCCACCCTTCTCCAGGTCTTGGGGCAACCTGGGCTCCAGCAGCAGGTAAAGATGCCCATGACCTCTACCCTACACTGGCCACTGCCAACATAGCTCAGGCCCTGCAAGAGCCCAGAGGACGTCGTGTTGATGAGGGATGCCCAGGCAGAGTGTGTGGGGGCTCCAGGTCCTCAGGTTCCCCCGGCCCCTCTGCTCATGCACCATGTGGCCCCAGGATGCTCCTGCCTACATACATCCCCCCGATCCAGCAAGTCCCCTACCCTGGAAAAGCCTTCTTTCGCCCTGAGATTAACTTCTCCCATGATGCCCTACTATTCCCAAAGGGTCACCATCACCCCAGCTCCCCAGTTCTGCCCCTGCTACTGTCATGCCAATATACTCCCCGCGCTGACTTCCTTCTGTCCCCATCCCTCCTGCGGCTCCTAGTACAGGTGTGACCCACAGGGACTCAGTGGATCCCGACCGACTGAGGGTCTACCAGAGGGAGGGGGAGAGCCACCTTCCCACGGCAAGGCCACAGCCCCGTTACTCATTAAACACGCAAGACTTGGGCTGCCTTTTCTAGCAAAGGGCTCCTCTCTCTGCCCACATTTAGGCAGGACTGTGGTGGCAGGAACCTGGAGTCAGCCCAGGATAGCTGAGAAGCAACAGTGAGGCCAAAATAAAGATCGGGGCTGCAGTTACCACCCCAGAAAGGGACTCTCCCTTTGGGATGTCCTGCGCCATCCGACACCGAGGGCTCAAGAGGCCCGACGCCATCTTCTTGCTCCCAGGAGAGACCCTTTCCCCAGAGAGGCTCAAGCCAGTGTCTTTGCTGCTCCTGGCCTCTCACCCCTAGCAGAGGGTCATGTGTGCCCAGGGTGGGGAGGGGCTGTTTATGAAACTCTGGCTCCTTCGTTTATGGTTTTATTGGCCTCTTATCAAGTAGTTACCAATTGAAGCCCATAAAGAGGCAGATGATAGGTATAGATGAGAAAGTTCGTGCCTGTCCGGGTTGTGCAGGTTTATTGGCTCTGGCTTCCCTGCCCTTGATCAGCATCAAAGAGAGCCCCACCTGCTTTCTGGGAATTGGCTGGGTAAGGGGAATGAACTCAGAGCCAGGGCACCTCAGGGCATGGGTCAGGGGCCACTCGAGAAGGGACTATGTGGTGGGTTCAGGGAGATTCAGAGGCTCATCCAATGGCAGAGTCAGAGCGCCTCCCCAGGCACCTGCAGGGCCAGCCCCCGCCATCTCCGCCTTACAGCCCTACGATCTGAGCGTATCCTGCCAACAGGAACCTAGATTTAACTACTTGGCACTGGCATTCTGCAGCTGCAGGAAGGTGGTGCTGGAGTGCTCGGTCTGCGAGGAAACGTGTCGGAGGGCTGCTTAAATGCAGCAGACTGAAGCGCACATGCCCCGTGCGCGTGCACACAGACTGGGCAGGGCTCAGTCCACTGCTCTCTGGCCCTTCCAGTCTCAAGGCTGTGCGCAAAAGCTGACCCTATATCTAGACATCTGTCAGCCTTGTGACATCAAGAGCACAGCTCAGGGAGTCAGGCCCAGGCTTATCCACATGTTAGCCATGGGACCTTGTGCAAGTCACCCCTTATCTTAAGGCCTCAGTTTTCCATCCACAAAATGCGGCACCAGAGAGAATGATGGCCGAGGTCCCTACTGGTATAAGTCTGAGATTTGCTCCACTCCTTCTGGAACCCCCTAAGGGCTTAGAGAGAAATGCTTGGCTAGGAAGAGTGCAGACAGGCTGCGGTGGGAGGCTCCGGAAATAACAAGTGGGCTCACCTTGATATTCCCATTGGCATCTAAGAGGATGTTCTCCAGCTTGAGATCCCGATGCACAACCCTGTTCTGGAAGATGGAGGGAGAAGGAGCGTCAGGGGAAGGTCACCAGGGAGGGAAGGACATGAGGGTCTAGCATGAAAGTGGGATAGTAAACACGAAGTGGGTGGACTCGGCCTGAGCATAGGTAGGCTGGGGATACCCATCTTTACTGGCAAACAGCGCAACAAATCACAGGCCTTCCACCCCTAGCCAAGAGGCTTGAAGCCAGAGACACCAACATTCCCTAGGCTGAGTGTGTTCAAAATCAAATCTGGTTTCTGCTTCTGTTTCCCTGTGTCATCCTGGATAAGTCACAGGTGCAAACCAGCCCTGGAGCCCCAGGGACCCCCAAAGAACACGGCTGGGGCAGGTGGGTGCCCACCTGGTGGCAGTAGTGCACGGCGGAGACGATCTGCCGGAAGAAATGCCGGGCATCATGCTCACTGAGCGGCTGCTGCTCGCTGACGTAGTCATACAGGTCACCCCGGCTGGCGTACTCCATGACGATCACAATCTTGCTGCTGTTCTCGAACACTGGACAGAGCAAGGGGGGAATGTCAGGCCCCTCCAGTGTACGCTGCTGGGGTCATATACTCACTCCTCCCTGGCCCCAAACCAGACAGGACCGCCCTCCAGGGATATCTGCTATTGGGCAGCAAGGTGGCCAGGAGCGGCAGAAGGGCGTTCAAAGCCTTCAACATCCTCCTGCAGGGGAGAGTTAAGGTCAAGGGAACTGGCTCACTCTTCCTCTCCTTGGAAGTTTGGGCTTTTGAGGATTTTTAAGACTACGCTGCAAATTCCCAGGAAGGCAGAGAAACATCAATAGATGAGAATGAAAAGTCAGGCTCTGGGGTTCAGGATCTGGTACTATTTTGCCTTGTGACCTTGGGCATATCTCTTTAGCTACATCAGTAAGAACGCAGGTTTGGGTTTGGGACTGGCTAGCTGGGTGACCCTGGCAAGTTAATCAGCCAGGGTGTCCTAGTTTCCTCATTTGAAGAGAAGGATAATAATGGTTACCTCACAGGGCTGGAGTAAGAAATGGATAAAAGTCATTGACAGCTTGGGCTAGCTGAGCAAGTTAGCATAGGGTTTGACATATAAGCAAGCACTCAATAAATGGCACCTACTGTTATATTTACTATTAGCATTCTCATGCATAAACTTAAAAAATAATGCCCATAATAATGCCTGCCTTGAGGATCAGGAGAGGAATAAAAGTATATGAAAGTGGTTTGTGAACTATACAGGACCACAGAGAGCTGAGATATTCATTACCCTCACATGTTGGAATCCTGTCCACAGTATCCAGGCCAGCGCCTTGTACACAGAAGCAATCAACAAATATTTGGTAGTTACGTGACTGGCCAGGCTCTTGGCAGTCAGCTTGCCCCAGCTGGCACATCACCCTGTGTAGGAAAGGCCTTCCTGCCCCCTCTAGCACTGTTCTAGCTCCAGCCCCCTGGAAAGGTAGGGAAGGACCGGTTCACCAAACTGGCCCTTCAGCTGGGTGTGTCAGAACATGCACGTCCATGACATTGCGTCTTTGTGTCAAACGGGTCCTAGGAGTTTGCCTTGCTCTGCCAGCCTCAGAGTTACTGCTGTTTAGTCTGTGAGAAGTTGCTGAGGGAGGAGGCTTCTCCCAAGACGAGTCATGGCTCCCGGGCAATGACTCGGAGGACTGCTTTTTCCCAGGCAAACGTGAGCGAATGGCCCTCATGGGGTCCCAGTCCCCTGGGGGTGCCTCACTGAGACTCCACCCCTCTAGTTCTCCATTCCTGTGCAGGGGTGCATGAAATCTTCATGTCATGAAATTGGGGGTCAGGAGCCAGCCAGTGCACATTCTGGAGAACAGCTAGGTTAGAGGTCTGTTCCCAAGACTGGAGCTTCCCCCTAGTTCATGAGTCTTAAAGTCTGTGGGCAGATGGGCATGGGTCTGCAGGAGCCCTGCCAGACACGCAGTCACCGTGATTACGTCTACTGAATCTGCAGGTGCAGGAGAAGCCACACCCTGAGCCTCCAAACTCAGTCCCCAGACCTGACTGGAGATGTGGGTGTGGGGGAGAAAACACAGACACACACACACACACACACACACACACACACACACACACACACACACACACACGCACACGCACAGACTCTGCCCAATCACAAGCTCAGCCTGGCTTAACCAATACTGCCACCTGCCCACTCTTCCCTGGGGGAAATACACGGAGATACAATTAGCCTTCTCAGCCACCTGCCTGGGCTCCTCATGGGACAGGCTCAGACCATGGGGCCATGTCAGTGACTCCCTAGTCTTGCTCTGAACAGAACCCAAGACAGGAGGCTTCTCTCTTACTTCCCACCAGAAATATCCAGACAGAAGGCAAAGCCATAGGCTTGCTCCTTGTTTTCCAACTCCTTGGTAATTATGTAAAAGCTGGAAGCAGACAGATGTGTGTGTGGGAGTGTGCCCCCCGTCTCCCGCATCACCATCACTTGCTCACTGTGTCGTCTAGGTCACAGGGGAACAGGGCAGCTGGAGCGGAGAACCAGCGCCCAAGTCAGAGCAGGAGGCAGCCGAGAGAGACAAGGGGGCAAGGCAGTAGCCGGCGCTGTGGAGGGAATGATGCCGAGTTCAGGTCAAACACTAGGAGGCCTGGCTCGTGGGATGTACTGTAAGACTAATAACACACACCTGACACAAGCTCAGGCCTAGGGATGTTCCCCCAGGTTGCCAAGGATCTCACTGGGTTGGGGAGGTGGTGTTCAAGCATGGAAAATGTAACAGTAACAAGAGAAGAGCCTATGATCCCTTGATTTCTTTTTTAAGAGCTAAGCACCTGGTGCTGCTGAATTGGATCTTTGCAACCACCCTGTGATGTAGGTGGTGGGATTATTCTGGCTTACAAATGAGGCACTGAGGCCCACCCAGAGATTAAATAAATTAGTTATCCAAAGTCATGCAACTGGGTTCAGATGCAGCTTTTGCCTAACTCTAAAGCCTGGGTCTTTTATACTCCTTTGTGTCGTCTGTTCTGACACACACACACACACACACACACACTCTCTCTCTCTCTCTCTCTCTTTTCTCTCTCTCTCCCCCCCGCCAGCTTCAAATACGCTGCTTCTGTACCTTCATGGATGGCAATGATGTGTGGGTGGCTGAGTGATGACATGATCTCAATCTCTCGCCGAATGTGCATCAGATCTTGCTCATCTTTAATTTTGTCTTTCCGGATTGACTTGATGGCCACCTGGGAACAGAGAGAATGCAAGAGAGTGAGGAGAAAGGTCTGGCAGGTAAAGGTGAACCTGGGGACACTCTGGGAGTTCTGACCGTGCTCTGCTGGCTGTTACTACAAGCAAGGTAACAACCTATTCATAAGGCTGATGCTTTATGGGTTACAAAGCATCCCCTCAGCACACCGTGAGGACAGGATTGGGCCTGTTTCGCTCACCGCTGGATCCCTGATGCCTAGCATACTGCCCCCCACACGGCAGGCCCTGAACAACCATTTGTTGTCTTAGTAAATAAACTAGGCTTCACAACAACCCTGGGAGGTAGGTACAGATCATCCCTATTTACAGGTGTGAGGAAAGTGGTACCCAGAGAGTTTAAATGACCTGCTCAAAGTCATACAGTCACGAACTGCACAAATGTGGATGAACATAAAAACAGGCTAAATGGAATAGGCAGGCACACAAGGGCAAATGTACCATTGTATTTATATGAGGTACCCAGAATAGGCAAATGCATAGGGCAGAGAGCAGAACAGAGGTTGCCAGGGGTGGGGAAGTGGGGACATGGGGAGTTACTGTTTAATGGGTACAGAGCTTCTGTTCAGGGTGACAAAAACATTCTGGATGGTAAATTTTGTTAGGTGTATTTTACCACAAAAAAAACTGAAAAAAACACCAGTCTCTTCAGTGTAGCTAAGGAAGGTCCCTCCTCTAGCAACAGACAAACAAAGAGACAGTTACAGAAAGTCCTGGGCTTTGCTATCTTGTCCCCAAATGTGAAAATACCATAGAAGGATTAACCCTTCAGGCTGGTGTGTGCAGGGGGTGCAAGAAGGGTGGGTGGGGCAAGAGGAAATGGAGAAACAACCGTCAGCACGTAGGTTAAGCAAAGCTCTCAGAGAGCAGATGCCTCCGTGCATGTGGGTGTAAGACACTGCTGGGGAGTCAGGGGACCCCCGATCTCAGAGTCTGTTTTCTTCTTTGTGAAACAAACAGGCTGACTAAAGTGCTGGGGGGCTCTCCTGCTCCGACCTGTGAGACGGGCCATCCAAAGGCAACCGGCCCCTGGCAGGCACTGGGTGCTGGGCAGGGGCGGGGCCGGGCGTCACAGGGCTGGTGAGTTCCTGACAAGTCCCGTCCGAGGGCAGAAATGGTAAATACAAGACTTCCTCTTCAGCGGGGGAGGGTAAGTCATGAAAAATCTGAGGCCACAGACTGAGGTAAACAGCTCCTCATTCTGTTTCCCAGGAGGGTTTGCTCCCCTCAAGGCACAAAAGGAGACAGAGAGAAGGACGGCACGGCTCGCGGAGAGGGGCCGCTAATCCAGCCTCGCACAGGGCTCTGGCGGCGGACAATGGCTTCCGCTCGCAGGGGCAGCGGGCGTGCAGGCCTGTGCTCCCCTTGGGACAGGAATGCGGAACCGCCGTAATCCGTCAGAGAGCTGCTCACAATGCCAGTGGCCCGGTCACCCCGGCAACGGGCCAGGGATGGCGTGCCCTCCGCCCCGCTCCTCCCCTGGAGCTGCAGCTGTGAAAGAGGGGACGCCCGGCTCTCCGGCCCTCCCTGCGCAGGGCAGGGAGGACAATGGCAGCAGGAGGGACGGTCACCATCGGGCCTCCAGCCCAGGGATGCCGGAGAGGCCCGCATGCTGCAGCTGCAGGGGACAAGCTGCACCCCAGGGGCTCTCCTCAGGCCGCCACCCCCTCTGCTCCAAACCACTCCAGTGAGTGAAACAGAAAAATCACAGCTTTGCGATGGGCAGTGGGTGGGGCGGGGAAGAGGGGGCTGTGAGGATTCAGCCTGGAGCGCCGCTCCTGTACGCCTCCCTCTCCATACCCCCCCCACCACCACCAAGGGGAGATTTTATGGGCAATTCTTTCCTAAAATTCTTTGTTTTAAAAATCAAACAATAGATAAAAGGCTATCAGCTCTTCAGATGAAGGGCCACAAACATGATACCAATGGGCAGTTACAAAATAAATCATACATAAATCACAAACCTAGAAAATGAAACAAATTATCTGACAGCTTAAGATACACACAGGCAAAAACTAGGCACATCTTGGATGTACAAGTGTGTACACAATGAGGTAAATCTCCACAGCCTTAGGGGGAAGAGGTCAAAAGAAGACAAAGTGTAAAAGAAATGAACTATCAAAAAATAATAATAAAGGGGTCTGGGTGGTGCTAGGAGGAGTCCCCGCATGGGAAGCGGTTATACAAATTGTATCCTGAGATGCATTTCTTTCAATTCTGGAAGCCTATCATTCTAAATCTGAATTGTTAATACTCAATGAACAATTTCCCCTTCCTGTAAGCTCTGTTATCCCATTATCTACTTTGGGACCCCCCCACTTATCTATCCAAGTCCCAGGAGACCATGGCTTGGCTGGCACTCCCCAGGAAGGAACCAAATTTTATCACTGTGCCTCCATCAGTTCTCAAGCAGGTACCAGACAAGAAGAGTGATGTGTCACTGCCCCGGTGGGGGTGGGCCACCACCTCCCAACCTATCCCAGCCCCCGGGGACAGGCCCTCAGCCATTTGCTAGTTAGCCTGTCAGAGTAATGAGAGCAACAGCTCAGGCCTAGAAGGTGCTCGGAATACAGACAGCATTCAACAATTGTGTACTGGTGAACACACATCACAAATAAATATTTATTGGCTAAGTCATCAGGCTGAACCTTGACTGATAAGGCCAGTGCCCAGATAAGATTTTCTGCCCTTTTTTCCAGGCATGGGTGGAAAGTCAGCCTTTTGAGGACCTTTGTTCTCATCTGCAAGATAGCAGGCAACCATTCCAGAATACAAATACATTGACTAGAGCCAAGAAGGAAGGTAACGCTGGATGGGTCACCCAGATGAGGACGGCCACGTGCCTGGGGACAATCCTCATTCGTTCTGGAATAATTGTTAGTAATGCCCCTCTGACTCTCCAAAGCATCCCAGTTTAGATCATATTCTATGGCCGCCCTTCTCAGAGAGGGCAGGAAATCCAGGCACAACAATCATATGATAATGTAACTGTGAACACCAGCTGCTCAGTGGGGTGGGCGGCATGAGCCTAGGCACCTCACCCTCATTTGCACTGTGGAGCTCTGCAACTCAAGACAGGTGATCACTTAAGTGATCTCGTTAACTGGCCTGGCTAGTTTTAATGTCCTCATCTGAAAAATGAAAGGGCCTTCATTTTCCAAACATCTGCTGAATAACTACTGTGTGCCTGGTACTATGCTAGGTGTTGGGGATTTAGACAAAAATTGGACAGTCTGCACACCAAGCCTCTCAGTCCAGCTGGAGGATGGCAAGTAAACTAATTCCTGCCTTGTGTGGTGAATGTGACAGTTGAGGTCCCTGCCTGTCCAGGGGCTCCAGGGGCACTGTGGAGAGCTTTCTTTTTTTTTTTTGAGAGGGCATCTCTCATATTTATTGATCAAATGGTTGTTAACAACAATAAAATTCTGTATAGGGGACTCAATGCACAATCATTAATCCACCCCAAGCCTAATTCTCAACAGTCTCCAATCTTCTGAAGCATAACGAACAAGTTCTTCCATGGTTAACAAATTCTTACATAGTGAATAAGTTCTTACATGGTGAACAGTGCAAGGGCAGTCATCACAGAAACTTTCGGTTTTGATCACTCATTATGAACTCTAATGAATATTCATTTGATTTTTATACTTGATTTATATGTGAATCCCACATTTCTCCCTTATTATTATTATTATTATTATTTTTAATAAAATGCTGAAGTGGTAGGTAGATGCAAGATAAAGGTAGAAAACCTTTAGTTTAGTGCTGTAAGAGGGCAAGTGTAGATGATCGGGTGTGTGCCTGTAGACTAAGTGTTAATCCAAGCTAGACAAGGGCAGCAAGACATCCACTGATGCAGAAGATTTGCGGAGAGCTTTCTTTGCCTGGAGGAGCAGGAAAACCACCTCGGGAAGAAAAATCCTTTGGATCTTGAAGGATGAGTGGGGTTTGCCAAGCCAAGGTGGGGGAGGTTAGGGAGGGGCACGAAGGGTATTCAGGCAGAAAGTTTTGAGCAAAGGCCAGAAAGGCAACACGACTTAGCCCAGGAGGATCTCTAAGCCCCATTCCAAACTCAAGCATTCTCTGCTGAGCTTTTTCTGAAATGGGTCACCTGACACTAGGTTGGGAAGGTGCTAGTCAAGGACTATTACATGGATCTATTCAGAGGCCCCATGCGGTATCTATGTTCTCCTGATTGAGCAAAATTCCTATTGATACTGGCCCAGTGATTTTCTTGCCCCTGCAGCCCTACATGCTGAAAAGGCCGCAGAATTGATCCCCTACCCCATCTGGAAATAGCAAACACTGAAGTCCAGGAAGGTGACCGACACATCAAGGAGAATCAGCATCCAAGAGGAGGGGTGTTGCCTGGAGGTGTGGCCATCTCAGAAGATAAAAGTTCCTGCAGGTGCCCTGCCCTGCCTCCAGCTTTCTGCTTCCCACCTGGATAGGGAGTGCTCCCCCACCCAGCCCTGGGCCCGCCGTGCAGGACCGCCACGGGCCTCCATACCACTTATGGATATACACAAACAAGCCTGAGAGACCGGTGGTGGGGCTTAATTGGTTAAACACCCCAGGGACTCAGACAAAGAATGATCTGGATTCAGGAGGATTGCAGAAAGGTTTCAGAAAAAGAGTATCTAGAGATGCTGGTTCTCGGTGTCAGGAGAGAGGGTGCAAGCTGGGCATCTCTGGACAGAGCTATCACCAGGAGTTAGCGCCAAGGTCCTTGACTCCTCTCTGGCCTTTCACAGAACAGCTGCCGTCTGGAAGGAGGAGCAAGGAGCTGGAGTGTGACCCATTTAGATAACAGAGTTGAGGCTGGGCAGAGTGGGGGCTGGCCTGGGGGAGGCTCACTACCCCACCAAGCTGCCAGGGAACCAGGCAGGGAGTAGAAATATGCTCCAGGCATGAGGGGAGTCAGAGCCACCTCCCCTAAACCTCATGCTGTGCCCATCCCCTCCTTGCCACCCTCCTGCCCACTCTGCCAGGTTGCCGGGAAGGCGCTTCCCTGCCCGCCCTCTTGTGTGGTTTGGCCAGAGCCCAAGGACAAGAGTCGCCTGCAGCCTGAGCCTCCCTCTCCGCTGCTGAGCAGGGAGGGCAGGAGTTGCTGGGAGGCAGCGACATGCAGAAGCGCCCTACGGCAGCCAGACAGGCCAGAGCCCTTCTCTGGAACAGGGGCGAGAGGAGAGAGCTGGACTTTGAACAAAGCAGAGTCCAGAGTGGTTTAGGTCAAAGAAGCTCAGCACACCCCATTCTCTTGCTCAGAGTTGTACAGACCCAGGATGGGGACTCCTCAGGAGAGGACAGGGTCTCATCAAAGCCTGCCTTGCTGGAATAATAACACTATGTGTGTGTCAGCTACTGTGCTGAGCACTTTACATATTTTACTTAATCCTATGAGGGCCCCACAAAGTAGGAATTATTATAAACCCCACTTTACAGATGAGGAAACAGATACAGAGAGGTCACAAAGCTGGTAAGCAAGAGGGTTGGGATTTGAACCCTTGCAGTCCGACTCTGAGCTGAACAGCCTCTCTGAGGAGGTAAAAACCAGGAATGCAGCATAGTTCACCCTCCCAGGATCCAACCCGTGCGGGGGTGGGGGTTCTTCCCAGTGACTACTACCACACCCCCAACCCAGAGCCAGCTGTTGGATGACAAAGCACACCCAGGTAAAGACCCTCTCAGCTCAACGTCCAGTCCAAAGCAGCAGCGCTCAGCCAGAGCCTGGGGCGGCCAAGTCAGGAGCCCACATTGCAGGCACGCCATGAACCAGACACAGGACAGGTCATGTCCCTTTTCTGGGCCTCAATTTCTCCATCTATCAATGAAGGAATTGACCATCTCAATCATTTTCAAACATGTTGAAATCCCACGTAGCGATCCAATGTATAAAAGCGACGAAGCACCCCTGCCCAGATCACTATGCATGTGGACTCCCCTCTGGCTCCTCACGGCACCCCTTGGAGGTAAGACCGTCATGCAGATCACCCCAAAGGCTTCGGTGGGCTCCACCAACCCAGGGACCCCCGCAGGTGCTTTTCTCTTTAGGGGGAGGGGTGGTAAGGGAGCTGGGAGAGTCACAGGAGGAAATGTCATTTGGATAGCAGGCATGTACTCAGAGACCAGAAGATCCAGGCCAAATATTTGTTTTTCCTTGGTGCCCTCCTGGAGTAGCCATTAGTCCTGCCCACTGACTCCTCCCTCCGAACAATCCCATCTGGCCCCTGCTAATCTCACCCAGGTAGGCTGGGAAAGGGAAATGTGCTAGAAAGGTGAAGAGAAGAGGGGGATGGGAGCCACCTAACGGGCTGTCCTCTGAATCTAGCCCCTGCCAGTGATCTTGGTCCATTTTGAGGGAGGTCGTGGGCTGCTCCCATGCCCCTTCCGCCCAGTGAAGATCGTGAGGCACCAGCTCTGTCTCTCCTCAGGGAGGACAGCGAAGAGGCAGGCATGGGGTGGCTTGGGGACGAGAACTCTCCAAACTGAGAAACCAGTAATGCAGCAGGCAGCCGCTTTCCAAAGATGAGACCCTGAGCAAGTTCCCAGCAGAAGTACTGGGTAGTCCGTGAATCAGGGAGGCTAAAGCAGAGCAGGTCCCATTCCTGCTGATCTTGGCTCCTTGCTCACAAAAAGAGGCATGAGGCCAGGGAGCACCTTCTGAATTCTCCCTGTTCTGATGTAATAAGGAGTTGGAATCCCTGCCTACAGCCACTGAGGTTTGAAAACGGAAAGCTGGGTTTATCTCATTCCAGAATCCATGAGATCCTTTCTTTCTTTCTCCCCCTTTCTTCCTCTCTCTCTCTCCCTCCCTCCCTCTCTCACACACACAAGCACACAGGCAGGTACACGCACCCACGTTTGCATGCAGTGACCCAGGTCAAGAGCCTGATGGGATCTCTGAACTTCAATCTCAGTTTCCCAGCTTCTGGGCCACCCTAGTCCTCTCAACCCAGTCTGCCCCTCCAAACAAGAGGGACGAGCCACAAGCAGCTATTGTCCAGAGAAGCCCTTGACAAAGCCTGGGTCCAGCAGTCTCAAGCCTGACGCCTCACCAGGCCCTCATACTTTATAGAAAGAGAAAGAAAAGGAAAGCCAGAAGTTCATGATTGCCCAATAGCTATAACCTGGCAGCAGGCAACTGGGGACGGTGCCAGGTATTAGCAGGAAAAACATACTCGGTCCTATTGATGGGGCCATAATCCACCCCCTTTCTCCAGCATCCACTTTCCTTCACCAATGAAATGACTTCTTGAATTTCAAATCAGTTACTGGCTGCAAAAGCAAACATTCTGGGAAGGCAACTGCTACCATAGCCAGTAAGGCAAACCCTGTGTGACCCTCTGCCTGCTGGCCCCCACCCCACCAGCGAGCACCAAACTGGATTTGGCAAAACAATCCCTAGACCACCTGCCCTAAAAGGCTTGTTAAAATGTAGGTTATCTGGACCCATCCTAGACATTCAGAATAAAATCCTGAGTGTGCACCCAGAGAATAAGTATTTTAAACAAACACCCTAGGTGGTTTGTATGCACAGTAAACCCACATTTGAGAGCCACTGCTAACTAACTTTTGGCAAACTTGCCATCCTGTCAGGGCTGGCCTTTCCAGATACAAATACCAGTTCTCACTGTGGGTTCTCTATGTTGGGAACAATTTAAATTCACATTTGTATCTCATTCAATTCTCACAGCAGCTTGTGAGGGAGGCTGTGTTTTCTTTTTGCAGAAGGGGAACTGAGTGTACAGATAAAGTGAAGTGCTCAAGGTTGCACAGATTACCACTACTACTATTACTACTGCGGCTCACACACACACATAGAAGATTAACTGGACATACTTCTGAAAAGGCCCCCAGGCCAAATGGGTCTTGGGGCACTGTGGACCTTGCAACCAGAGCCCTATTCACATTTTCAAGAATAAAAAACCCATCATAAACTTTGAGTCAGTTATAGCGCCGGAAAAGACCAGTGTGTCAAGCCCACCTCTCCACCCTGAGCAGATCTGCAGGGTACGCTGGGCTGCCACATTGTAACAACTGACCCGAGGTACTGGACACCTCCAACATTCCGTGCACCACGCACGCAAGCACTAAACCCCTACGAAAATCAGCGCCTTCTACTTCCTCTTTCCGTTCCACTCGATTGGAATGTCTGTTCCAAGCAAAATTCAACTTGAGTCCCATCTTCTTTAGGGAGCCTTCTCATACCACCACAGGACGCTGTTCGTCCTCTATGCACCCCGCGCCAACGGCCCGCCTCACTTACTTGACAGTCACCACATGCTGACTAGTGTTGGGTGTTGGAGGGTTCTCGGGTCCACCGTCCCGACGGTCATGGGCAGATGTACCTGCGATGGAATCCCCCAACACCACCACACACACGCAGCCTTAGCGAGGTAAAGACTGCCGGCTGGCCGCCCCACGGGGCAAGGCGCCAGCCCCCGGCCCACCTCCCACTACTCAGCGCGGGCCGCCAAGCCCCGAGCCGGCCTGCCCGGCGCCGCGAGAGGGAGCCGCACTCACCAAGCGTCCCGAGCTCTCCCGCGCCTTCTTCACCTTCCCGTAGGTGCCCTTGCCCAGGGTCTCCAGGAACTCGTAGCGGTGCCGCAGGTTGTGCTTGTGATGGTGCCGCTTCACCGCCTGCTTCTTCATCAGGGGCTTGGGCGACTTGATGAGCCCATCGGACAGGGGCCGGGCGAGCCCCGCGGCCAGGGCGGCGGCGGCCGAGGGAGCCGGGCCGGGGCGCCGAGGTAAAGCCAAGGACTCCATGGTGAGAAGGGGCGCGAGGGCGGAGGGGGAACGGGCTGCGCGGCGAGAGCTAGCGGCCGGGGCGCACGTCCCGCGTCGGGCGGGGAGTCCACCGCCGCACTAGAACGCGCTGCCCGCCGCCGCATTCCGAGATGTAATAAACGCTCCGAGCCGGAGGCCCGGGTCACGCCCCTCCCCGCGCCGATTGGTCTGTTCTCCGTCTGCGCGCGACCAGGGTCGCCCGCATTGGCTCGTCCGCGCCTCCGGCCCCGCCTCCTCCCTTTGGCGTGGTTAGGAAAGGTGTCAAAGAAGCCCCTCCCACCTGTGCCCCCACTCCACCCCCGCACGCGGGTAGGGACAGGCCTGGGGAATAGGGGACGCCGACAAGAGTCCGCTTGGCGGATGGTACTACTGGGGTCTGGAACCTTCGAGGAGCCTTAGAACTGCTCTTGCCTCTGAGTAGCGCTCGGTTCTGGTTAGAGCAACCTGTTAATTTTCCGAGTGTGCGCTGTTTTCAGAAAGGGGCAACGTGACAGTGCTAGAAGTCACCAAAGTATTTCTAAAGCCTGAGTAATTTGCTCCTCTCAAGTCAAAATCTATAAAGTCACTCGACCACCTCTTGAAGACCATAAGGAGAAAGGGGGGATGGAATGGTGGGGGGCAGACTCCAGCCAAGTGGGAGGGCTTGTGGAAAGCTGTTCAACCATTCTGAGTTCACCTGTCTTCACTTAGGGCAACCTTAACGGGACCCCAGAAATGAAGTTCTAAAAAATTCATCAAAGAAGGCTTCCAGGGTTGAGCTGGTCCCTCAAGACGTGGTGGAATTGATGAAGTATTGAAAGGAATGGAGAAAGCCAAAGAAAACCATTCATTCAATAAAAAATGTTTATGCTCCTATTATTTAACTTGTATCCCTAAAGCAGTAAATAGCTGCCCACTCAAGGTTTTCCTCTGTGTGGTTTAGGGGCCAGGAGGACTGGTGGTAGGTCTTAAGGTTTGGCTTGGCTTTTAAGGCCTGGAGCTCTGAGTCCAGAATCCCCATTGTGTGTGATTTGGAGTGAAATGAGAATGTCCAGAGGCTCCCTTCCTCCCTCGAAGTGTGGCATGTAAAATCAAGGGAAAAGGAACATTTTCCTTGAGTATTCCTGATAACCCAATCCTGTGAAGTGGGTATTATTCTGCTTAAGGCCACTCAACTAGTGGGAAACTGGCAGAGCTGGGATTCAGACCCCCCCAGAAGGATGGTGACTCCAGTTGTGTATTCAGGGCATGCTAATGGTCTAGAAGGACTAGATCCCCAGAAGATGAATTTTTTATTTAGTGTCTGCCCACTTTCCTTTGATCCCTTCTAGTGTGAATTAGGGATTGAGAATGTTTCTTTGTGGCTGGAGAGGATCTACTTATGCAGGAAAACAGCTCCACTTCCCCAAATCCGGGGTGGGGGGGGGGCCACAGGAGGTGATAGTCCGATTGGCCTTCTTCCCTATTCTGACCTCCTCTCTTGCTCTGAGTTATCTATGAAAATAGAATAAGGTCCAGGTAACAGCTCCCTTGACCTGCTATTTCCTTTGTCCCCTGAGATATGCATCCATACTTGGGGTCCCAGGTAACTGGGGCCATCCAGATGGATTAGGGCTTTTAAGAGGAAGCGTGGGTAACATAAAAGCACTGGGCTGAGTGTTGGGTGACTTGAGTCGTAGTCCTGACTGATACCAACTAGTTCTGTGGCCTTTTACCAATCACTTATTCATTCTACAAATACTGGTGCCCAGTAGGTGCTTGGCCTATGGATATGGTCTCTGTCCTCAGAGAATTCTCAGTCTAGTGAGAAATAAACAAACAAATCCTAGGCAGTGGAAGATGTGTCTGTGATGAGGTAAGAACAGATGACCTCGGGTATATAACAAGAGGGAGCCTCTAGCCCAGACAGGAGGAGTGTCTGGTCAGGGGCAGCTTCCTGCCAACAGGGCCTTTTAAGCTGAGACCTGAGAGACGTGAGATGGCGAGATGAGTCAACATTTCTCAAATGATGAAAGAATTACAAAGATGAGCCTAGGAGTCCCTTTCAGGCTTAATCTAGACTCCTACGAATTCTTCCAGGTATCCCCAACAACTAGTGCACTGCTGGGCACAATAAAAGGCACTCAATTGATTCTTGTGAACCAAGGGAATGCATGTGCAATAGAATTCAAAGACTAAAGTGAGAGCATCTACAGATTTCCCTCCGTTACTAGCTAAACTGGCAAGGGCAGTGGGGGTAGATCTCCTGCACCTCCTGAACCTTCCCCACCCCCACTTAAACGTCCTGTGACCAGAAGGTGAATCCCCATTAGGAGGCAAACCATGGATGGCCAAAGACCCCAGAGAAAAGAGGTCTCCCCTGTTCCAGCCAAGGTGCAGCTTGGAGGCCCCTGAAGATTACAGAACAGAGCTTTAGTGATGAGTTGGCCTGGCTACTGTCTGTCCTCAGGAGACAGGGAGGGAGCCAGACAAACAGACACAGAGCCGGAAGAGCATGTGACTTGGAAATGATCTTAACTGCTAAAACTCAGCTCTCAAATTCCTTAAAGGGAGACCTGATCTGTCATGGAGCAAGAATGCCCTACAGGGAATCTGATTACGTCAGGGGACTCAGCTCCTGCAGATCTTGGGGAATTCCTGGGTCACGTGGTCAGATTTGCTTGGGAATATGGGCTGAGCTGAGCCATTCAGTCCTGGGAGGCCGAAGCCTGCCTCCACGCCCCACACCAGTCACTGATTGCTGTCTGAAGGGCTCTGGGGATAACCATTCAATGGACCTACTAGGGGCCACACTGGGAAAACAATTAGGAACAGGCATCTACCTGCTCTAGTCCTTAACTTCACAATCTGTGTACCTGACTATGTGGGTCCAGGCCAGTAGAAGGGGATGTTAATGTGTCTCACAGTAAGGATTGCTGTGATGTGTAACATGCAGGGTAGAGGTGGGAGGGCAGGTGCGGGACACCAAGGCCCTGCTTTGGGGGTGAGGAGGGGGCTGTGGGGGAAACCAGGTCTTCTGAAAAAGAAATACATTGAAGACAAGTTTTGGGGGATGAATAAGATCTAGCTACCCTCTCTCAAGAAATTTACAGTTTAGTAGTGGATTAAGTTCACTACACAATTTACTGTACCATCCAAGGCAGAAAGTGGGCCGCTTCTCAAGGGAAGTACAGAGTGCCATATGCAGATGAAAGGATGGGTCTTATTCCAGCTCAGGGGTTAGACAGAGGCTTCCCAGGATGCCAGCTGGGCCTGGAAGGGCAGGTGGGATTTAATAAACAGGAGGAAAGGCCTTCAGGATGGGGGTGGGGGTGAGAGTGAGGGGAGTAGATGTGAGTGTGGTGTGGGCAAGGGTAGAGAAGGGCCAGCTGAGCGCTCTCTGGATCTGATGAGCTCTAGGGGCCTTCCAGACCCTAGGGCATCTCCTCCCTTGGCATTTTTCTCAGTATAGATGCCTGAGCCCCTCTTTTTCTTTGAGAAAAGGGCTGCTGCAGGCTGGAGGGCTCAGCTCAGCATCCACTTGCAGCCTGAGATCTCAACCCTGATATTCCCTTTCCTCAGAGCTCTGAAGATGAGTTACTCTCTGGCTCTCCACCCCCAGGTGGTGGACAATATGGCCTTGAAGATGCTGACCTTCCCCTCTCAGGGGCTGGCGGAACTACCTGGATAGGATCCTGCACGTTGGAAGTGGCCCTCCAGCATCAGGATGTGGGAATCCACAGACGGTTTGGCAAACTCGGATGCCTGACTCAATGCTGCCGTCTTCTGACCAAACTAGGCCTAGCAATTTTATGGGATCCCCAAAGCTGTGTGACAAGTTGGGGGACTAGGGGGCTGCTTAGGGCAGCCTGTTCCTTTAATGAGCCAATCATCCATTCATTCAACAAAAATGTATTGAGCGACTACAATAGTAGGTATGATACTATATAATGGGTATTGATCCAGCCCTGGTTCTAAGCGTCTTAGACATAGCATCATGTCCAAGGCCACGCAGCCCTAGCTGGGAATAACAGAGCTGGGAGGCAAACCGTTAGTTCACATCACAGTTGGAGTCCCTAAGGATGGCATTGTCTTGTGGTATTTCTGGATATACAAAATGGAACTAATGGGCTACTTATACTCTAAATTCTAGTAAGCCTTATCAGGAGTTGGGGGGAATTTTGTGTTGCAAACACTAAAAACAGTCCCCAAGCTCCTGGTTACAATGGGAAAATGAATGTTATTCACAGGCGAGGCTGGGAGGCACATGACCTAAGTTGAAGGTCACGTCTCTTCCCAAACCAGGCAGCTTGCCTGTGTCCTGCCTGGAGGGGCAGGGACAGCACACACAGATGGGCAGGAGTCAGGAGTTCTGAGTTCCGGCTCCTCTTTTACACCCAGCCTACACACTGGTCATGGCCAAGGACTTTCTCTCTCGGGGAAAATTTCTTCATCTATAAAAAGTAATTTGGATAATTAAACTCTGAGTTCCATTTCAACTCTGGAGTAACCTCTCTGTAATATCTAAGTAAGGACAAATCAGAAATCTCAGTTACTCCTGTCCTTTTACCCACCTGGTAACTGACTCCCTCACTACAGGACCTTCAGAAGCCCCATTCCTTCTCCCACCCCAGAGCGGCACCACGTTTTCGCTCAGGAGTCTGGTAACCCAGTTTCCAGGCTCTGCTCTGCCATTCATCGACTATCTTTCATCTCCCACCACCTCTATGGGTAAGAATTATTCTCTTTTATACAGGTAACAGGCTCACTGTGTGCCGGCCACCATGTGAATACGTTCAATCCTCACCACGACTCTGTGAATTAAGCGCTAATATATGATTACCCCCTTGCACAGATAAGGAAACTGAGACACAGAAATGAAGTGACTACCTGTGCAGGGTCACAACGCTGGCCAATGGCGGAGCCGGGATGGAGCCCAGGCAATCACTCTTAACCATCATACTTGGGCCTAGAGAGGATTCCTGAATCTGCCAGAGTCTCTCCAGGGTCAAAGCTTCTCTATGTCATCATTTACTCAACCTGAAATGGGCCTCCTGATGGCCCCGCGGGCTTGCTGTGGGATGAAAGAACTGAATCTGTCAGACTGATGCCTTCCTGTCAGTCTGTGTGGGGCTTTGCTGGGGTCTGGTCCTCCCAAGTTCCT